AGATGAAATCAAAATCGCTCATCTATCGGCACACGAAACTTAATCAAGAGTTTTCAGTTGCACAAAGTATCATATTCTATACAATTCTAGAGGTTTGGCATTACCAACAAGTATTTCTTTAGACATCTTAAAAGTACGATGGATTACATATCTTCTTTTGAATAAGTATATTACAAAGACACCTTCTTAGCTAATGTTTCTCATAGAAATATCAACGAGTTTTTGGTTCCATAATGATACTTGGGATCCTCAACACGTGATAGTTGCATAATTACCATATATCTTATATTCTCAACCAGTATCGTTATATATTCAATACATCTATACCAAATAATTTCTTGTAATGATAAGACATATACTACAAGATCTTCACAAATGCAATAAATAACAACACCCTTTAAGTATACATTGATACATACGGATTAGATCCATGGCATAACAAATGTTAAAGAAAGTATACATTATACCATACTTCAAGCCTCTAACTATATTGGAATATGGTTCTTCGAATTTTTTTGTGTGCTTATAGAGTCCTTGGACATACATGAAAACTCGTATTATCACCATTAGATATAGGAATAGCAATAAGGTAACATTCTATAGTTAGAAATGTTTTAATGTCTTTATAATATACAACTCGTGTGATCTTGAGGGTGTGGAAGGCAAACAGCAAAACTTTACATGAACACTCCACTCAAGCAACCATCCTACCTCAAGAAGTGCAAGAGGATTGAAAATGAAGTAAAGAATAACCATCTAGTCATCGCTACAAAAATGAAGTTGGTGGACTAATTGGGGCTATAATAAAGGAACAATATGGGAACTTTCAAAGTTGGAGGGTCAAAGATGAAGCTGAAGATGCCTACAAGTGTAGTTGATGTAAAGCTGAAAATCCCCATTTTTAAGCCACCATAACTTGCCAAACAACAAAATCAAGCTAATGATTATAAACAAGTGCTTATTGAAAGGCAACCTAATTTTCTTTCCTTTTATTTATTACTTCTAGTTAATAGGATGGGTGATTTGTTTATTTTATTATTATTATTATTATTGATAATAATGTGTCGGGTGTCACATTGTAAAAAAAAGTCAAATGTCATCATCCTTATAAATAAATAAATAAATAAGTACACATTGACTTACAGCCACAACCTATGGCCTTTCGTCCCTTGTTCCATTTTCATCTCCATCCCTTGATTTTCTAGTTGATTATGACGTGTTTTAGCTCAATATTAATTGTTCCATATTATTTTGTCACTAAAGATTGAATTTTATTCATTTTACGGAATATGACATTTAAGACCAATCAAACCAACACTGCACAAATGGACGAACACAGTCAAGCGGACCATCTAGCTCAGACACTTTCATGCCATTTCAGCCACCACTTTCATATTGACCAAGGGAGTCTTCAGTTCTCATCTTTGCCCTTCTTTTTGCATACTTCACGTCATATTTTCATACATTGAAGGCAATGAATGTTTCATGTTTGGAGGTGGGATATTATCATTGACTATGTATGTTTTTATTGCTTTTGCATGTTTGCTATGTGCTATATAGGTAAAAAAATTCTTTTTAGCTTTCTTACTATTTTTGTGTGCTTGTGGGTTAGATGGCCTTGTCAGCAATAATGTGTATATTGAAAATATGCGTTAGACTAGAACTGGTGAAAAATATTGCATGCTGTATTGATTGATGCTCATTCATGTGGAACTTGTGCATGAGGCATGTTTTTTACATCATGAATGAGTGTTTTGGTTCATACGATGAATAGGTTGAATATAGTAAAATTTAGTTGCTAAAATGAAGGAAAGCCACTATTACATACATCTTTAAACTACTTTTAGGATAGTTTGGAGATGGATGAACTAGTGTAGGAGAACATTAAGAATATGGATTCCATGTGTGAACTTGTTATGTGGACTATCTAATGCCAATAAGATGGAGATTTGGAGAAAATCTTAAGTTACGGGTCAATTTTTAAGAATAAGTGTATAGCAAGAGACATCGCACTAATCATAGTACCCAAAAAAAAAAATAGGTACGTTGTGAAACTACCATATAAAAGACCTCCATGAGGACACCTATTGAAAATCTCAAAAAACAAAACTCAAAATGGGATCAAGCTAGTGTATGAAACAAAATCCGCACAGTATAATTAAAAATAAATAAAAGTTAGTGCATTAAATAGAAGACTCACTAAATGCTTTGATTAAGCCTCGAATACTTATTTGAAAGAATTAAACATTTAATAAGAGATAATTAGCCTAATTAAATATTTAGGGGTTGAAGTGGTCAAAATATAGGAGGACCCTTATTCGTTAAAATGCTAAATTGCTACTAGTGAGTCTATCCAAACTAGAGGGATGAGTATTAGGATAATCTAAAACTTGGCCTAGGATCATGACTTAAAAAATGAGTGAAAATAATAAGTTTGGGACTGTGTATCTCACAAGTGAAGAAAGAAGACATTTGACCATTAAAGTCGGGAATTGAACCAAGCATAAATTTATAAAGTTCTACATGAATCTTCACGCAAATTTTCCATGGTAGACATTAATTCCAACTATATGATTTTGAAGCTACTCATATTATTGATACATAAATTTTAATAATGAGACCAACGACAGACTATCTAGCCAATTTTTGTTGAGTTAGGCTATAGTTTGTTTGAGAACAAATAAATATTCAAGTTTGGAAGTATTTGATAAGTGCATGTTGTACACTTATTTAGGTTTTCAAATTAGAGAATTTGTTGGATATTTTAATGAATTACTACTTAGTTCTATTTAGTCGATAAAATTCTGCAAGCGTACGAGATCGTTGGCAAGCAATAATGTAGTGAGTTAAAGTATCGTCCCACGATGAATTACATTAAGTTTTAGTATACTGGTATTTAGCAAATTTGATTAATAGTAACAAAATATAGTTGTAGATTTTTACAGCAAGTTACACTATGAATGTAATAAACTATGGTTTTATCAAATATGTGATGAATATACTGGATGTATGACTCCCTCAATTAACTTATAGAACCAATTCTCGACTTGTATTAGTCAATGTAATCAATGTGTTTGTGATGATAGATAATCCAATTTTATTTAATATTCTTTTTCAAGATATACTAAACCTATGTTTAGCACGACCCGACCATATTTCTAGTCTGAATTCATATGAAAAACATCATGTTAATTTTAGGATTATCGCACGCTATAAATATTAATACGTGCCCATGTGTTTCATATACAGTGTTCTATCAATTATGAGTTTTTCAAATTACAAATAAACAACTAATTCTTGTTTCCTGAAAATAGACAAACATTAAACCTACACTTACACATGTATCACATAAAGTATTAAAATGAAATTATTTATCTAGTGAAATAGGTAAAGTGAAACTCCTTAGGTCCTTGAGTTTTTATGGAAATTTATTTTGCAGTCTTACGCTGCTCTCCTCGGTTAATGGCATTTCTTCCCGGTCTAGAAGAGTTCTTTTCTTAGATATCATATCCTTCATAAACTTCACATACATCAAGGTCTGTTGGATTGTATCGATGAATAGGATATTGATGTGAAGCTTTTTCAGCATATCTAGGAACTTCTTGAATTGATCATCGAGTTTTCTCTTTTGCAGTCTTTGTAGAAAAAGTAGTCGTGGCACAAATTATTTAGTATGAGCGATTTCCTTAACGTTTGGATCATCTGATGCTCTTTCTGTCTCTGTTTCTTTGTTTTGCTCAGAATCCTCCAATTGCTCGTCAACCGTTGTATGTGCCTTTTCTTTTGTAGAAAGCGGTCTCTTTACATTAATCACTGACAGTTGAAATCCACTATGGGTAGTTATTGTCTCAATCTGTTCTTCCTTCACCACCTTCACGTCATTACCTACTATTTGGGATTTGTCTCAATGTCATTGGGCAATGTTCCTAGTAGTCTCTCTGAAAGTGCATTCACTATTTGTCCCATCTGATTTTCCAAGTTCTTGCTAGCAGTTCCCTGAACTTGCAAGGTTTTATGAGTTCTTTGCATGTGTTGGGTAAGATATCTTCGCCAATTTAGTAACAAGGTCTTTTAACGAAGATTTATTTTTAGTCTGTTGAAAACATGGTAGTACAGTTTGATGTACCGAAATCTGAGCTCCTTGATTGTTTCTACATTGAAAACTTGGGTGATTCCTCCAGCCTGGTAATAGGTGTTAGGATTTGGATTGTATTGTTGCCCTTGAAAATTCTGAGTGTAGTTTACACCATCCACTGTCTGAACAAAAGGAGACCCCATATTATAATCAACACTCTCGTGATTCCCTCCACAATGTTTGTATTTTAGTCCCATTGTCTAGGTTGCGTTCATCTGATCCACATTCTGACCACCACCTCACCATTGCCTCTAATCGCACTGTCACCAACACCTCCGCCACTACCTCCCAGCAACATCACCCTCACTACGCCATCACCAACACTACCACCAACAAATTATCATTTTCAACTTTAAAACCAACATTACAAAACCACCACCATCACCATCACAATCACCGCCATCCCCATCTTACCATTATCGTCATGGCCAGCAGAAGTAGCAGCACCACTTCCTGTACAAAAAATCATAACCACCATCTCCATCACACCACAACCACCACAAAATCTCCAAACCCGCTGTCGTCATCATCGTTGCAACCACTAATCACTACCACCACTCGGTCACAAGTCACTAATTTCAATTACAAAATCACCACTATCATTGTTAGATCCACTAAAAACCACCCCTAGCCACTGATCCACCACGTCGTCGCCAAAAATAACACCAACACAACCACTATTGCCACCACCACCACCACCAACACCAAAGCCAAAAATAGAAACAATAGACAAACCAAAAACAACAATAGCCAAATCATTTCCATCTCGAGGTTGGAGGTAGCTCCACCAGTGCGCAGCGCTACTGTAACTGTGAACACCGATGAGGTGTGCTGTTCAAACGGTGGCGAGGTGCGAACAACGACAATGCCACCTCTCGCGAATAGAGTAGAGGTTCGAACAGCGGTAGCGTTACCTCTTGCGATGATGTGTGTTGCTAAGGGTCGACACTTTCCTTTCCATTCGATGATCGCAAATCAAAGATGTTAATCGGTTAGAGGCTTCGTGAGCCTAGCACGATGGTGCTCCAGTGGTGGTGTGTGGTAATTAGAGAATGGAAATATAGAGAGAGAATGAAGAGATTTAGTGAAAGAAGGAAAAGTGAAAAATGATTAAGTTTGAAAATTTTGATATGGTGGAAGGACATAGGGGTGTAGTATTTAGATTAATTTAATTTTATAATATCATTATTGAATGAAAATATGGAGTTCTCATCTGATTTTTGTATAAACATATTTTAAATCTAATTTTTAAAATTGAAACTTGAAAAATCCAATTCTATGTAATTTCCACTAAATCTTATCCTACCTAAATGAGCCCTCTCTCTCTCTCTCTCTCTCTCTCTCTCTCTCTCTCTCTCTCTCTCTCTCTCTCT